GGCCGGGCTTGGTGGCTCAGCCTGTAATCCCGCGCCTTTGGGAGGCTGAGGTGAGTGGATTTCCTCAGCCCACAGGTTCGAGACCCGCCTGGGCAGCGAGACCTCATCTCTACAATAAATCAAAAAATCAGCCGGGCGTGAAGGATCGCCGGAGCCCAGCAGGTCAAGGCTGCAGTGGCCAGGAGCAGCCACTGCACTCCAGTCTGGGTGACAGGGTGAGACTTCAACTCAAAAAAAAAAAAAAGTGTTTGCACATTCATGGTCTTAGCTACAAAGTCTTAGTGACTAATTCCCTTTAAACAGGGCACTAAATGTTATTCCAGTCATTGGTTTCGTGTGTGTTAACTATTATATCTTTTTTAGAAATTTAGGTTAGGTTTTAGTCAATACTCTGTAGTCACAAATGTAGTACTACCAGTTGCTTTCCTCCACGTTAAAGAACTCTGACCTAGCTCTTGTCACCTGTGTGTTCTGTTGTGCCCATCATCTCTGCCGTGACCATGAACGAGTCGGATGAGGAAATAGTTTATCTATGGTATTGGCTATCTCTGCTTCACAAGGAGCTGTGAGTTTTCTGGCTGCAACTAAAAATACATTATTTCTCCTGAGTAGGTTTTCTGTAAAGAATACACATCTTATCTAAATTTATTTCACTCAGAAGCAGACTCCCTATCATGGCCTCACTCCCCACTGTGATAGTAAGCATATATTCTAAACGCTAGGACTGATTAGTGTGCTATCCTTACAAGTGTTATGGGACCAGCTGCAAGTTGGGTAACAGGCCAGGAGCTAGAAGATTTTCTGTAAAGGGCCAGCTAGTAAATATCTTCAACTTCGTGGGCCATACGCTTTCTGATGCAATGATAAAATACAAATTATGTTGGCTGTGTTTCAACATAATTTTGTTTATCAAAACAAGCAACAGGGGGCATTTGGCCCCAGGGCTGTAGTTTGCTAAACCTGCATTAGACAATGCCTACCCTCAGGTAGCTCACCAACCTTGTCTTCCACCACAAATTAGTCTCTCTTTTCTTTTCATCTTGGAGCCCGTGGAGGCCTGCTAGGAACAGGACTTCTAGAGGCAAATATGTTTGGAAGGCTCTGGTCCAAAGTCATTTTTGTTGGCTATAAGCGAGGTCTCCAGAACCAAAGGGAGCATAAAACTCTTTTCAAAATTGAAGGAGTTTATGCCCGAGATGAAACTGAATTCTATTTGGGCAAGAGATGTGCTTATGTATATAAAACAAAGAACAACACAGTGACTCCTGGCAGCAAACCAAACAAAACCAGAGTAATCTGGGGAAGGTAACTTAGGCCCATGGAAACAGTGGCATGGTTCGTGCCACATTTCGAAGCAACCTTCCTGCTAAGGCCACTGGACACAGAATCTGTGTAATGCTGTATCCCTCAAGAATTTAAACTAATGGAAAGTAAGTAAATAAAAGTGTTTTTGTGTTCTTGTATTTTTGTTAAGTGGATTTAAAAACCTGATTGCCCTGAATTGAGTTGCTATTAAAATGGTGATGGTTATCCATCATTTCAGGATACAAGGAATTCAGAGACCTGTATATGTTGTAAAAGCAGTTCCAGGGCAAGTATAGAGATTTTGAAGACAATAGGTTTTAATATGAGTATCTTAATGCAAGGCCTTAATGGGGGAGAAGCATTGGGGAAAGTGAAAAGGTGACTGCCTTCATTAGATTGAGAATAAGTGAAAGAAGTTTAAAGCTACCTTTTAAAATACCTTGTAATATTATGCACTTGTTCAACATGGATTGGTTGGGATACTTAGAAGTAAAAGTGGGAATTGGGAGGAATTTGGAGATTACATTGATGGGCTTTGGCAGCTCATTCAAATAGGCTGTGATGAGACATCCTTAGGATTTATGACTGGACAGACATTCCAGTATCTTACACTTGACTGGAAGCAGTATGTATACTGAGAATATCAATGTTAAGCCATGTTATTCTACCTCAGAAAAAGTTCCGTGGTATATGAGGGGAACAGTGCATGCTCAGCTAGCAGCTTTTCTTGCCTTCATGATTTAATGTAATAAAATTCATGATGATGTATTTTAACATGTTATAAATAAGGCTCCAGATTTTAAATGTCTTGATGTGCTAAAATAAAATTTTGAGCTTAAAAAAAATTAGTCTCTCTTGAAGGAGTGAAATAGAAAGTATAGATAAATTTGTAAACTACTATTTTGTTTTTTCAAATGATTTCAAGTGGGGCTGAAATTCTATGACGGTGCTGCCAACTTAACACATGGTTCTGTTACTCTGCTACACAGAAAAGTCTGAATACCTGGACATCTTGGGTATATGCCACAGCCCAGCAGCTTAAGAGCTAAGTGGCTCACAGGCGCAGTGGCCCACGCCTATAATCTCAGTACTTTGGGAGGCCAAGGTGAGAGAACTGCCTGAGCCCATGGGTTCGAGACCAGCCTGGGCAACCTGGTGAGACCTCATCTCTACAATAAATCAAAAAATTAGCCAGGAGTGGTAATATGTGCCTGTAGTTCTAGCTACTTTGAAGGTTCAGGCGGTAGGATCACCTGAGCTCAGCAGGTTGAGGCTGCAGTGGCCATGAGTGTGCCACTGCACTCCAGCCTGGATGACTGAGTGAGACGCCAACTTAAAAAAAAAAAAAAGAGCTAAGTAGCATATCATAGTATTTTATTTCTCCTGTTCAAAGTTTGAAGGCATGTTTGGTGAGACTCTTGTGGACTGATCCTTCACACAATACATTTAGACAGTCTGCCCTAAGAGGTGACAGGTAGGATGTTGAAGGACACAGGGGCCTACATTGACTCATCTACAGTTTTAAGTGATAACAAAGCAAACTCTGGCTCAGCCTGTAATCCCGTGCCTTGGGAGGCTGAGGTGAGTGGATTGCCTGAGCCCGCGGGTTCGAGACCCACCCGGGCAACTTGGTGAGACCTCATCTTTACAATAAAAATAAAAAATCAGCGGGTGTGGTAGTGCACACCTGTAGTTCCAGCTACTTGGAAGGCTGAGGCGGAAGGATCGCCGGAGCCCAGCAGGTCAAGGCTGGGGTGGCCGGGAACGGCCAATGCACTCCAGTCTGGGCGACAGAGTGAGACTCCAACTCAAAAAAAAAAACAACCAAAAAAAAAAAAACAAAGCAAACTCTGCAGGACCAGAATTCTCAGTGCTCCCTAGCCTAAATGGGGATTACTTCAGAGATAAACTATAGCTGCCTGATTTAGATTAACGTATGCTCTATAGTTCTGCTGCAGTTACTTATTGGACCATTTTGTGCAATGTGTACACCCTCAAGAGATCTTGGGCTACTCCGTCCAAAGTGCTTTCTTTAGAACACTGTTTCACTCTATGACTATCATATATTTGGATGAATCCCACACATCACAGCAGAGTATTTTAGCTTTTACGAAGAAAATCAGAGAAAAATGTATTTTCTCAATAGAAATAAAACCCCTGGGCAGAGTTAATTGATTTCTATAAGTACCCATCTGCCACAGCATGAAAGGACATTGTATTATTGTCAAGGGTTATGAAGTACTTATTTTTCACAGCAGTTTAAAGGCAGGAATTCTAATTGAAGAGCTAACATTTGGACACTCATGTTCTCATAAAATTCTCAGGTACACAACTCAGAATGTCTTGGCCTGGGAAAGCTAACTGAAAAGAACTACCAACCATAACTGGGCTAGTCATAACCAGCAGGGAATCGACAGTCACTGACTGGAAACCTATGAAAGCCAAATAAGAGTTTTGAGGAGAAATAACTTTTAAGAAATACCTTTTCAAAGAGTAGGAAGTATCTGTTGCTCAGCTACAAAAAAGAAAAACAAAACAAAAAATTTGATGGCTTTTAGTCACTTAAAAAATCCAATCAATTCTTCTCCTGGGTCTCCTTATTTATCACCCTAAACTACTCAGCTTACTGTAGGAAGCCATTCAAGGCAAAATTTAGGCCGGGTTCAGTGGCTCAGCCTGTAATCCCAGCATTATAGGAGGCCGAGGCAAGTGGACTGCCTGAGCCCGCGGGTTTGAGACCAGCCCGTGAAACTTGGCAAGACCTCGTCTCTACCATAAATAAAAAATTAGCTGGGCGTGGTAGCACGCATGTGTACTTCTGGTCACTTGGAAGGCTGAGGCAAAAGGATCGTCGGAACCCAGCAGGTCAATGCTGGCATGACCGTGAGTGTGCTACTGCACTCCAGCCTGGGTGACAGAGTAAGACTCCAACTCAAAAAAAAAAAAAAAAGACAAAATTTAAAGTGGTTAAGCTGTGTTATCAGAGTCATGCATTTCTTCTAATGGACTGAATTCAAATCCATGGTGAAAATGAGTTGGCTGGTTTAATCCAGTGAAAACAGAAATCATGCTTATCAAGAAAGACTAAAGATTAGGGTCTTAATGCCATCATCTGAAGAGTCTTCTTTCCCCATTGCTAGAAGTCTAGTTTTCTAATAAAGACCAAAAGACAATTTCTTGTTGATACAGATTTTGCCATTTTAAATATTAATTTCCATCATAATCTTCCCACCATTCATATAATTACTATCTGATGAGGACGACAATTCTTAAACTGATCTAATTAATGTAGATGTCACATATATCTGGAAGGAGTCCTTGAATGTATGATGATGAAGATATCATCTAACATTTATTGTTTTCTATGTGCCAGGAATAGATCTAAATGCTTGAAACGCATTAAATTATATATAGGCACATTTATGGAGGGAGAGAGAAGTTAAAGAAAGGGACTATCAAGATCATACAGTGAGTAAGAGTTGGAGCTAGGGTTGGAACTGAGGCACTGACCCCATACCTTATACTTCTCAACACTGCTAAGCTGCCTGCTAGATATGTCTTGTTTTGACAACGAACCAGTTGTGGAACTTAAAAGAGATGTGCGGTCCCCCTCTCCTTAAAATTGTCCTTTCCTTAAAAACAATTCATTTGTTAAGCAAGACTTGTTTTACAAAAAGCCTTAACATATTGAAATATCAATTTGTAGTTGCCTTATACATTTTATTGAATGCTTTTTATTCTGCATTTCAAATTGAATCAATAATTGTAAATTACACAACTTTATAGTGACAAATACATTAAGTTACATGTTTAACCTTTGCACACAAATCTAGTTTGAAAAAAGATACTATATTAGTAAATAAGTACATATTTATCCCAATTTTTAAAAACTTTTATGAAACCTAGGATAAAGATATTGAAATCAGATTTCCTGGACAACACTAGTAATCTATGTGGCTAAAGAATATTCACAAAGAGGGAAGAAACTACAAAATGAGAATGATGGGTCTGCCAGACAGGACGCTCAATTCAGCTGTCTTCGCACAGATTTGTATGATAAGGCTGATGTTCTTTTCCATCTTTTAGTCTCTCACACTTTTTAATTATATCCTGATATTCTAGAAAATATACAATTAAAAACTCTGCAGAGAGAATTCTGCAATAAAATGTGATTGTTACTAGATTCATAAAACATCCAAATAATGAATCAATTACTATTGTTTAAAATTTATAGTAAGAAACTTATTAAAAACAACAAAAGAGTATTTCTGTTCCAAATATAGGCCAATTTAAGTGATTTTCAATACAGCAAAGCTAAATATGGGGGTTGCATTTGGTTAAAACTCGTAGAGCAGACTTCTAAGGAAATGACCACTGGGATCAGCTGGTTCCCTTTCTCAGATGAACATCCGATTTCTACTATGCTTCTTTCTTATTGAGAAGACTCATTTGGAAAGGATCCAGCATCCATCTGCTTGCTTAAAAATCTACTCCCTCCTACTGACCCACTCTACCCCACATTATAAACTACAAGCTTTTATGGCATTTTTTTTTTTTACTGGAGACCGTACGTTTGAGTTGAATTATTCAATGTGAGGGTCACAATAAGAGAACGTGGGTCTTTTTTGTTCTTGTGAACAGTGATCTTTCCATTCAAGGTTTCACCTGTAAAAGAAAGGCAAAAATGTTTCAGAATTCAAGGAATAATAGTCTTGTGAAAAAGTAAATAATGTGTACCCAGCACATCTCATTTTTGCTGTGATATATTTCACTGCTTTTCAAAGTGAATATCTATTTTTTAGAGTTTTATGTTTCATTAGCTTTTGAACAAAGCAAGAACTAGCTGTACACCACAAATGTGAAATCCCTGTGAAAGAGGGAGCAAAACTACAGCGGTCATGCAGGGTCAGGAGACGTGGTTTCACTGAACTCCTGAATATGAGGTCCTATGATGGACTCTGGGCATCTAGAAAACGAACAAGACATGGTCTCTGCCCTAAGACTTCATGGTCAAGGGTGAAGAGAAAAAGGTATACCAAAAATTACACAATAGGCATGTGCCTAAAGTGTGCTGGAGGTGGTATTGGGGCTGTTTGGAAGGCAGCAAAAGCCAAAGTTTCATAAAAATTAATGAATTATCCAAGGCCAAGACCAAAGTCATGGTTAAGGAGTCTTAAGGAGTATACATATAATGGCATTTAAGGAAGAAAAAACATGTGCAGAGAGCCTTTGGGAATGGCATTTTGAGGAACTGAAAATTAGTTGGGAAAACTTAAGAGTCACATGACAAATCCGTTTGTTTTTCATGTACTGGCTCTACAAGCAGGATACAGAACACAAGTGAAACAAAGAACACAAAAATATTACTTAAAGGCAAAGGCTAATTTTCTTAAAATGTATCCTGTATGCTCCAGATTTTATCTTATTCCAATGTGTAATTATCTATGTGCTTTTCTGACTATAAAGTTCATTTTTTTCATTTATTTTAAAGAGTCATTTAAAAATAAGTGAGAAACTGCTAAGTTGTAACAGATCATCTCTTTGTTGCTTTACTAATACTAAGATCACACCAAATAGCATCAGGAATAGCTTTACAATCTGGATGGACATGATGAGATGCCATATAAAATAATGATTGTGGAATCTATGTAAACTATCCAAGTAATGAATCAATATACTGTTAAAAAAAAATGCAAATCCCCTACATTTATGGAAAATGATCCAAGTGCTTTTCAATATGGTAGTGAAATAACAAGTAAAACATAACATACCACTTAATAGTTATGTTTATTTTCAGAATGTAATGATTCCATTACTGATACCTTCTAAACATCTTTGCAAAAAAGGTGAGACTCATGGTTTAATACAAAATTAAGTAATTAGAGTAATGGCCAAAATAATGTGACCCAAAATGCACTCCATTCACCAAAATATCACAATGATTTTATGCAGAAGTGTATATGCTAGTGTGTATCTGTGGCTTTAGCTTTTATAGCTGACCTATTCCTCTCTACTATTAAGAAAATGAGATAAAACTACCTCATATGCCATGCTCAGCAATAGTGGACATGACAAAGATGGCCGGTCAGATAGTTCTACAGACTTTACGGAGGTCAGGTTAATCCTTAAATAATAATAATTTATGCTTATACTTATTTGCTTATTCTGTGCCCTATTCCAAGGGTCTTTTATGATTCATCTCACTAAGTGATCACAAAATATCACTATAAGGTAAAGGTAAATGTATTTTCCTTACTTTATAGATGAGGTTCAGAAAGGGTAAGTAGTTTGCTCAAAGTTATACTGCAAGTTAGTGAAAGATCCCAGATTTTAATTAAGCAAGGCAATTTGAATCCAGAGCCCATGTTCTTCCACTACACTCCATAGTCCGAATTGCCATCTAAACTCAAATATTATAGCTTTAAATATACTATAATGGACAGGAGATGGCCTAAATGTTACTGCCCTGTGACCTTTTTGGTAAAAATATTTAGCTACTTGTTTATAAAAACATTCAATTACTATTATTGTATGTTATATAATATGTAGTTATTCTACGATGGCTTTAATAAACACAATACATGTCTTATCTAACGCATTAACCTAGAGAAGAAATAAAAGATCATGAGTGTTTTAAACACATCTAAGAGACTTTTTCAACTTTGATTATGCTGGCAATATTTTATTGCTTCTATTTTTAACCAACATTTTAAAACTTCTATTTAAGTTATCATTTACTGATACTAAAACGATCAAATAGTCGATTTATGATAAACTGACTGTTTTTATAAGTACATGACAGAGAACAGCAACTGCCAACACGGTTACTAGGTTTTTAACTTACCAAATCACCAACACTGAAGTCAACACTGAATTAACAAACTGTTGATTTTTACAACTTAGTGGCTAGATAGTTCTTTTTTACTTATAAGCAATGTGTCTTATTTTAAAGTCATTAATTTAAGTGCTGCAATAAAAGTAGTTCATATATGAAAAGAGATGATGTATACTTGAGATTCAAAAATAATAAAATGGCTCCCAACAGAGAGTAAGTATTCTATTAGGCATCCTAGTCAGGGGATTCATGTGTGGGGGTTAAAAGAAAATACAAATTGGAAAAAAAATTAAGCGGTCTTCACTTGTAGATCACATGGTCTTCTAAGTAGGAAATCCTAAAGCAACATGCAAAAACCACTAGAACTATAAGATCTCAGGCAAGGTTTTATGACTAAGGCCAAAATACAAAAATTCTATTTCTATATACCAGCAATAAGGAATTTATATATTAGCATATACAATAGCTTCAAAAAAGCATATAATACTTGAGATAAATGTAAAGGCATACATCTATGATTTATTCACATAAAACTACAAAATAACTCTAACGATGACCCAAACATTTTACTCATAGGTGAAAGATTCAATACAGTTAAGATGTCAATTCTCCCTAAACTAATCTATAGATTTAACAAAATCTAAACCAAAATCTTGGCAGGCTTCTTTTTGTGAGTAGAAATTAGAAAGCCAATTTTAAAATTAATATGTCAGTAAAAAGGATTTAGAATAGCCAAAACATTTTTGAAAAATAACAAAACAGGAAGACTTATACAATCTTATAATGATAGAGTCTTACGGGCAAAAGAACAGACATACAGATCAATGGGGATACCAGAGAGTTCACACATATGGCCAATTAGTTTTTGGCAAAGGAATTCAGGCAATTAAATGGGAAAATAATAGTCTTTTTAAGAAATGATGGAACAAGCCGGACCCGGTGGCTCAGCCTGTAATCCCAGCACTTTGGGAGGCTGAGGTGAGTGGATTGCCTGAGTCGGCAGGTTCAAGACCCGCCTGGGCAACTTGGCGAGACTTCATCTCTACAATAAATAAAAAAATCAGCCAGGCGTGGTAGCACATGCCTGTAATTCCGGCTACTCGGAAGGCTGAGGTGGAAGGATCTCCGGAGCCCAGCAGGTTGAGTCTGTGGTGACCAGGAGCGGCCACTGCACTCCAGTCTGAGCGACAGAGTGAGACTCCAACTCAAAAAAAAAAAAAAAAGGAATGATGGAACAAGTGAATACACATTTGGGAAAAAAATGAACTATTATTAACTCTTAAATTTAAAATAAAATAGGTTATAGACCTAAATGTAGAAGGTAAAACTATATATATACATATATATATACACACACACATATATATAAGAAACATGTAAGAAAATCTTTACGATATTAGGGTTAGGCAAAACTTCCTTAATTAGAACACAAAAGCACAAATTCTAAATTTGATTTAATCAAGTTCATTAATGATTTCTATTCTTAAAAAGACATTAAGACAATGAAAAGACAAGCAAGGAGCTGGAACAAAGATTTATAGTTACACACAGCTATAATATGTGTATGTAGCTACACATATATCTGACAAAGAACTTATATCCATTTGTAAAAAAATCCTTACAACTCAATGAGATGACAAACAACCCAATTAAAAATTGAGCAAAATATTTTAGCAGAAACCTCACCAAAAAATATACAGCTAGTCATCATGAAAACATGATCATCATTTATCATCAGGCAGATGCAAATTAAAATCACAAATACAACTTCAGACCCAGTAAAATGGCTTAAATTAACAAGACTTTTAAGTGTTAACAAGGATGTAAAACAACTAAATTCAAATGGTGCTAGGAATGTTAAATGGTGCAGTCATTTAGGGTTTGCCAGTTTCTTATAAAGTTAAATATACACTTATCATAAGACCTAGACATTCTATTTCTAGGTTTTTACCCAAGAAAAATGAAAACATATATCTGCACCAAGACTTTTACATGAATGTTTGGAGCAACTTTACTCATAATGGGCCCTAACTGAAAATAATCCTAAAGTCTAGCAGCAGATGAATGAACGCCTAAGTAAACTGTGGTATGTCCATACAAAGGAATATTCTGGTATTTGACAATGAAAAGGAACACACTAATGATACACACACAGCTGAATCTCAAAATATGGCAAGGAAAAAAGCTAGAGTACATTCTGTACAATTTCACTGATAATTCTAAAAAAAAATATTAATATATAGTAACAGTGCATAACTAACTTTCTTAGTCTAAAAATTGGAGTTGGGGACTGATCGCTCAGGGGATGAGAATGAAACTTTCAGGAGTGATGGAAATATTCTATATTTCTATGGTGGTGTATACATTTTTCAAAATTCATTGAACTGTGATATTAAAATGTGTGAGTTGCCATTATATATAAATTACTGCATAATAAAGTTGTTTAAAAATGTGGTGCCTTTGGAATAAACAGATAAATGAAATGCCATAGAGAAAACAGAAGATCATTATAGAGAGTCAGTACATACATAGTAAGGAGGGCATTTTAAATCACCAGGGAAAGGATTTAATAAATACGATCTTTTAAAGTATGAAACCAAAGTCAGAAACCAAAAGGAAAAGGTTAACAAGTTTGACTATACAAGATGAAAAATACTTCTATCTGGCAAGATAGTTTAAAGAAAGAGAAGCACATTAAAGCAGTGTTAATGTTCACTTTTTAGAGTAGCAAAGACTTTTTAAAAGTCTGAATTTTGAACTGATTTCCTAAGATGGATATCAGAAATGGAATTCCTTCATAAAAGGCATGCAATATACTCCAGTTTTACAT